CCTAATTCACGTGGCAAGTTGATGACGCGTGCCGCGGAAGATTGTTTCATGTACCGCCTCATCACCCACTCCACTCCCCCTGGACACACACGGCCCATACACACACACCTCCTCCCCCGCCGCCACCCCCCAGGTGGGCTACTACGCCGCCCTCACACTCCGTCAGTTCGTAGCCACGCATCTCGTACTGCACGTGGGGGCAATCAAGCGAACACTTGCGGCGGCGGCGGCGGCGGCGGCAAGCAATGGCGCCGATGCAGGCCGGTCCTCCAGCACTATTGCCGCCGAGGCGCAGGCTCCCGTACTGCCGTACCGGCCCGTTGACACCAGCCGGGAGGCCCTCGAGGCGCTGACGGCGTCCCTGGAGTCGGATCGCCGCCTGGCGGAGGCGTTTGCTCGCTGCCGCTGGCCCGCCCTGGAGCACCTACTGGAGATGCAGGCGCCAGCGCTGCTGCTGGAGCTGGTTTCGGCGCTGCCGCCGGAGCGCTGGTTCCACGAGGCGGCGCAGGCCGCGCTGGAAGCTGTCCGGCTGCTGACGTTGGCGCCGCTGGCGCGGCGGGCTGTGCTAGCGGCGGTGGTGCCTCTAAGCGTCGGCTCCCACCACCACCACCACCACCACCAACAGCAGCAGCAGCAGCAGCACCGCAACGGCGTCGGTGTGCTGTTGAGTGCGGCCACCCTGACCACATCCGCATTCTTCTCATCCGATCCGGAGGTAATAGGGGGCGCGGGCTTTAATATGTACGGCAGCGGGGGTGGGCAGTAGTGATGTCACCAGTAGGGGGAGAGCAGTAGCCTCATCAGCTGCAGCGGTGGGTGAGCCAGCCGATATGAGGGGTGGGGTGGGGTGGGGTGGGAGCGCCCTAGGTGCCGGAGGAGAGAGCGCTATGTGGGGGGGGGGGGGATGGGTGCGGCCCCACGCAGCTGCGGACAGAAGCTGCCCCTGGCTGACTGCGCGAATGCGGCGTAACCCTCTCCCCACCACCACGGAAGGTTATTTTTCGCGACGCCGGTGTTTGAATGAATGAATGAATGAATGAATGAATGAATGAATGAATGAATGAATGAATGAATGAATGAATGAATGAATGAATGAATGAATGAATGAATGAATGGCTTCCGCAGACGGTGGCCGAGACCCTGCTCACATTGTAA